TTAAGCAGCTACAGGTGTGCATAGTTTAAAAACTATGCAGATTACTTCCTATTATTAAGAATATGTATTAATGTCAGTCACTTTAAACATTTTAAATAGTCTGAACATTAACTGTGCTTGCAGTTTTAGTTAAAACGTATTTTTAAAAGTTTGTTAAAAAATGGCGCTGTTCTTAAAAAGTAAAAAGAAAACTGCTGTACTTAAATCTCAAGTATTCATAGTAGCCTATTCATCAAAAGCTGGAAATGCTGCTTGGACCTTATAAATATAGGCTATATGTCATATTTCTACACTTTCAGACAAATCTTGAAATAAATGTTAAATGTACATATGACAGGGTTCATACAGGCACAGCCTAATGAAAATCAATTCCAGCACCTATTTTTTTTTTCAAGACTGACATGCTATGTATTGAAGACCTGAAATGTATTCTCAGCAACCCATAAAACATTGCATAGGAATAGATACAAATAAAAACCATTAATAATAATATTTATTAATCATATATTAATAATATAATAAACCTGCACTAAATGCTTGTGAAATCTTTTTTGTACTCAAGTAAAAATACTATTACACTGCTAAAATAACAAAATTTTTAGTAAATAATGCTAATATTAGGTAAAAGTACAAAGTACTCTTTTAAAAAGTACTAGTTGGTTACTTTTGAAAAAAAAAATCAGATTTTCATTATGAAATCACTTTTTTTAAGTGTAAACCTGATTTAATGGTTTGATTGCTTAAATCCCAAAGCTACATGTATAGGAATTTGCACTACAAAAGCAAGTATGGCCGATTTTTTTCTTTCATGACAACTAATCTTTTTCAATAGCACTGGTAAAACTACCAAATAATCTTTAAGGCCATAGAGACACTTTTTGCCCATTTTTAAAAAAAGATATTTTTAAGCTTTGAAAGGTTAAATTAAAGTATATGGTAAAATATTTTTATTTATCCTTTTATTTACATATTTTACACTATGTTTCTTTACAATATGGCAAATTTGTTTCTTAAATAGCTGTCCATCACATGTAGATTTTATTTTACACTTGATCTTAATCTAAAATAGAAACTTAAAAAATACAAGTACACTGTCAGTAAAAAATAAAACAAATGACTTTATTTTACTTGAGGTATTTGAAATATGACAACACTACACTTATCAAAGCAGTGCTTTAAGAGCCTTATTGTAAATGTTGATAAATAAACAATAAGTAACAATGGATTGCTTTGACCTGTAATGCTTTAAGACAGATCAGAATACAGCTAAATGTGTAAATCACACAAATACCTCATCCAGAAACATTTCCAGCATAATTCTTTTGTCGTAAAGAAATAAAAAAGTTCCACCTTTGCTAAAAGTAAGTTTCACTTGACAACACAGCCAAATAAGAAGACCATTAGCATTGTCATCGATCATGCATCAATCTATTTTTAAATACTTGATAACTTTGAATACTTTTGACTAAATAGTCAAGGAGCAAAGATAAATAATGTCTACTTTAATAGTGGAAAGATCGCGATTGTATTCTATCTGAGCACACACGCGATCATGAGAGCACTTGCAGTTCATTTGAAAAAAGCATATTTAAGAGCTCGCATATCTGTTTTAGCGATTTGCGTACATGAATGCGCTCTCGTGTTAAAATAGAGCACTCGCCACATTTGCAGAAATGAGTTATTGCGCAATACCTTCATTCCCGCGCCGCCATTAAGACTGTATAGAGGAGTGACAGGTCAGAGGCGAGTCGACTGGCTGTCGGAGAGCGAAACGTGTTTGTAGATCATCAAAAAGGCAGGAAATATGTCCGCGGTTTAATTACTCAGCTAGACGTCTCTATAGTGAAAACATCCAAGAAGCATTATTCCAACAAAACATTTGTTTTTAAGTTGTTTTTTCTGTCTCTGCAACACAGAAAGCCTTTGTCCCGCCCTTACATTTCACGCAACTAGACAAGGTCGACTGTGATTGGCTACTTTTCATGTCAGTCAAATCACGCTCCAGAATCAATTCTTAAACTTCGGAAACTGATTTTCAGCAGCTTATGACACAATGCACTAAAATAAACACTCTAAGCACAGCGTTGTGGTCGTACGCTTCACAAAAAAGCCAATGCTGATCACATCGATGTTATATTACACATAAAAGGATTTAAAGTGTTAATATTTCTTTCATTATTCAGCGATTCCTCCGCGTACCACTAGGAGGAAGCCCGCGTACCACTAGTGGTACGCGTACCACAGTTTGAGAACCACTGTTGTAGACTATCAAAAAAAAACATCGCTTTAAAGGGCTAATAGTTTTGACCTTAAAAAAAAAAAAAATTAAAACTGCATTTATTCCAGCTAAAATAAAACAAGACTTTCTCTAGAAGATTATCAAAAAAATATTATCAGAAATACTGTGAAAATGTCCTTGCTCTGTTAAACATCATTTGGGAAATATTTAAAAAAGAAAAAAAATCAAAGGCGGTTTAATAATTTTGATTTCAACTGTTCATACTGACAGTTCTGTCCAAACAGCTTACAAAGTTGATTTTCATCATAGGTGCCCTTTAAATATAACGTTTGTAAATTCCTTCTAAAATGTTCTGAGATGAGTGGGCTTGACAAATCACCTAGAGTAGACACACTATTTTTCCTCCATATGCATCAGATTTACTTACAGTACTTATGTACACTCATGTTCATGGGGTACCGTTTTGCAATCCTGAGTGTGCTTTACACTGGTGAGTGGGCTTGAGAAACCACCTGTAGGTAACACACTCTTTCCTCTTCTCTCTATATGCATCAGACACTTTCCTACAAACACTCAAATGCAAATACAGAACAACATTAGTATTAATAATAATGCTGAACTAACTTCTAACTTTATCCCAAGCTTATGCCAAGTCTTTATCACTGCTCTCTTGTGATCTTAAGTTACTTTTATATCCTCATTTGTAATTTGCTTTGAATAAAAAACATCGGATAAATGAGCAAATGTAAATCAATCAGTCCTTCCAGCCATTCAGCCTTCAAGCTTTCATGTATAATAAATGATTCTAGAGTCATAATAGACTTTATTGCCAAAGGTTTTCATTGAATTTTGGTGTTCCAATCCCTTCAATGGCCACAGGTGTATAAAATCCAGCAGCTAGTCATGCAGACTGCTTCTACAAAGAAGAATGGCTTGCTCTCAGGAGCTCAATGAAATCAAGCGTGGTGCTGTGATAGGTTGCCACCTGTGCAATGAGTCCATTTGTGAAATTTCCTCACTACTAAATATTCCATGTCAGTTAATATTTCATGGCCACTGTTAGTGGTATTATAACAAGGTGGTAGCAATTGGGAACATCAGCAACTCAGTCATAACATCGTAGGGCATGTAAAACCACAGAGTGTACTGGGTCAATGGAAAGTCAGCAACTCACCAACTAACTTACAAACGTTGCGTGGCCTTTAGATTAGATGAACATGCAAACTCCACACAGAAATGACAAATGACCCAGCCGGGGCTTGAACCTTGCATAGCTTAAAGTGGCTAATAATTTTGACCCCAAAATGGTTGTTAGTTACAAACTGCTTTTATTCTTGCCGAAATAAAAGAAATAAGCCTTTCTTCAGAAGAAAAAATATTATCAGACAACCTGTAAAATTTTCCTTGCTCTGTTAAACATCATTTAAATATTCAAAAAATAAAAAAAATAAATATATTAGGGTTTAATAATTCTGATTTCAACTGTGTGTGTGTGTGTGTGTCTATCTATCTATCTATCTATCTATCTATCTATCTATCTATCTATCTATCTATCTATCTATCTATCTATCTATCTATCTATCTATCATCTATATATATATATATATATATATATATATATATATATATATATATATATATATATATATATACACTGTTTCATATTATGGTCTGTTGTTTATTTTGTGGTGACACAAATGCATTGTGTACGTCATAATTTATTTGAATGCAATATTACCTGTTGTTACAGGGGATCCAGGGAGAAAAACGGATAACAACATTGTGATCTAGTTGAAATCTTAAAAGTACAAAGTTTACATTTCTCATTTTTATGTTGGACCTGTCTGTGTCATTACTTTTTGAAAAGTGCTTTTTATTTTATTTATATTCATATTTACATTATTAATCTAACATTTGCCCTGAAGTTCTTAATAAAGTGAGAAATATCATTACATATGAATGAGTACATTGATTTATTATATACTTTTATTCATTCAATCAATTTCCTACTGTCTTAGTTCCTTATTTATCAGGGGTTGTCACCGTGGAATGAACCACCAACTATTCTGGCATATGTTTTACACAGCAGATGCCCTTCCAGCCGCAACTCAGTTCAGGGAAACTCTCATTCACACACACACTGATACACTACGGACAATTTAATTTATCCATATCACCTGTACTGCATGTCTTTGGACTGTGAGGGAAACTGCAGCACCCGGAGGAAACCCACACGAACACGGGGAGAACATGCAAACTCCACACAGAAATGCCAAATGACCCAGCCGGGATTGGTGACAGTCCCAACCTCTGAGCCACCATGCTACCGATTGAACACTTTAAATAATAATAATAAAAGTTGTCCTTTATTTGTTATCATGATAAGAGATTTTTGTCATATTGCACAGCTCTAGTTTCCATTCTTTTAATGTAATTATGCTTGCAGTTTCACATCATCTTTTTAAATGTAATTTACACATTTGAAGTGCACCTATTTTTTGTAAGAGTTTTCATTCACCTAACATGGTATCATATCATCTTTATGAACATAAACATTTAGCAAAACCTTTAGCCTGTTCAAAAAACACAGATCTTTCTCTCCATCTTCCCTTCTGATCGATTGTCTTAGTGTTTAAAAGCCAAGAGCTCGAAAGGAATGTGGCCCTGATGTCCTAAAATAACAGTTAGACAGAGTTTGCAGGCCAGAATCTTGTTGTTTCCGGAATGATCTTTGACCTTCTCTCTTTTGTCCACTCCACAGGTTCTTGTGTGGGAGCTGAGGTCTTTTCCCAGACACAACAGAAGCCAGAGCCTGTGGTTGATTTCATGACTTCCTCCTCATTGTTTGCCTGTCTGCGTGACTGGAAACCGGCAGTGACAGACCGATGACTCCGGCCTCTCTTTAACCAGGCTTGTGGAGAAACTGGACCTGGCTCCCTCTGAAGTAGTGAGTAATCAAGGCCGACGGCCGAGTGCCATGCTTTTCCCACACTTGTGAGGCAGCGTAACCTGTCATGCTGACCTTGTTGCTTAACTATGCTTTCAGCTTGATGTCCAAATTATCTCGGCACAATGCTGCCAAGTCATTTTGCTGGTTTGCACACAACTCTGCACCTAGTGGTCACTGTGAGTAGCAGTTAACTCTCCCCTCTATTTATCTTCCATTTGGTTACATTTCAATATAATTATTTGTTCAGCAGGTGCCTTTATCCAAACCGTTTTACAAATACTTCAAAACCAGAAGAGCAGTATGTACATTATGAGCAGAAAAAAAAAATAAAAAATTCAGGGGAGAGGGTACTGGTGCAGGGGGTTGTTGGATGGTGTCCTGTTTACACACACACACACACAATGATAACAAAATAGGTCTAAATACATTTTTCATATGAGAAAAAAACACCAACCAGGGCTTGACCTTAACTTTTTTTGATCACCAGCCGCTGTGGCTAGTAGTTTTCCACCATTACTAGCCACTCGCCTTTTTTCACTAGCTACAATTTTGTTGTTGGGAAAATATATTTTATTTGCAAAAACTTGACTTTGGCATGGGTTGTGGCATGCTAAAATTACTTCATTTAGATTTTGTGTTTTTTCCACTTGCCTCCTCGTTCATTTAACTGTTTTTTGTTTATGAGCTTACTCAATGAGCATGAGCAAATAGGTTATGCTTTCATAAAAAAGTGTCGGATTGCAAATTAGTTTTCCTTTACAGGACTTTTCAGGGCTCAACACAATAAGGATTTACCTTTTTTTCTCTGGCCACACCAAACTAATTATTTCCTTGCCTCAAATTTTAAAAAAATTGTCAAAACAAGCAAAATACTGCTGTATACATACACTTTTTATTCAACAAAACAGCTGACATTTAAAAATATACATATTCTCATGCATCTAGAACTATGCACAGTGGTTTGTTCTGGCTCCAGACCTCAGATCACCGGTCAACTATGCCTACAACAACATATTAAAGCAATATTATTGTAAAGGGTGATTATTAAACTATATTAACAAAACTAACAGCAAGCTAAAGAAAGTGGGTAAAAACATTCTGTGCGCGATAATGAAAGGATGATGCCATGCACATGGTTAATGTTAGTCCAATTAATAATCTGTTCAAACAACGGGTAAAGCAAAAACTACAACAACTGCTGCTGCTGCTTACAAAGAATCTCAAGACCTTGAAGAACTGTGGATGCACGAGCATCACACTAGTTTCAATTCCAGGCACGGTTGCTTCGAGTGAGGAAACGGCACAGGAGTTTTTAAACACTTGCGCGCATCAAATCATCTGTGCACGTGTGACACTAAAGCTCGTCAGTGAGCGAGGAAAGCTTGATCACAGTGCGCCTGATCCTCTCATTCGTTGTTCACTTGCTTTTTTTTGTTCGCGCGGAAAGCTGTTTTTGTCAGACGTGCTGCTTCTCGATTCTAAGATCACATTTGTACACATATAGACAAACGGTCATAAACTAACAGACAGTCTAATCTAGTGATGACGAGCCAGCACTGGTAATTTAAAAGTGAGGTTTCGGCCATAGTGGCTTGTGGGAGTGGCTGTCTAACCCACCACAGTAACTGTCTAACCCACCTCCGATATCCACCCGCATTTGGCGGGTTGGCGGGTGTTAATGTAAAGCCCTGCCACCAACCATAAACAATCTTAAGAAAATCATGAAATTAAAAGGGACAATAAATTAATTGACATTGTAAGTCTTTGACTACCAGCAACTGTTTGATTGACTAAATATAAATTTACCTTTTTATGTACAACACTTTGTTTACCTTATGTAGCACAACTAAATTAGCTTTTTATATATAAACTGAAGTAATATCAGGTAGAATATCTTAAAATAAGATTAAAGAGCCCCTATTTTGCATAAAAAAATGTCATATTTTGGTTTTGGTCACCAACAGCTAGCTGATATGGGTGCAAGGTCAAAAAAACACTTTCATTAGCTCCTTTCACACATACAGACCTTTCTGGAAAATTACCGGCAATTTTCCGGAAAGCTTGTATGTGTGAACAGGTCCTTTTTGAAAATACCGGTAAATTCGTTCTGGCTATTTTCCAGAAAGAGAAGTTGTAACATTACCGGTAATTTGCCGGAATGCTGCGCTGTGTGAACGCAGAAGGAAGATTTCCGGAATAAGCGCGTGCACGTCTAGAACGGGCTGACGTGAGACACCTGCTTTAGCCAATCAGAACAGTCAGACGCATTCACGTGCGCGCGGTTTATGAGAATAAAAGCCTTTGAATATTTTTTCCAGACACCTTTAGCTGCAAGATGTTAGTCAGATAATGTTTCTATGTTCCTTCTTAATGCTGTGTAAATAATTATCGATAAAATGTTTATGATAATCCGTTGTTTGTTTACCTTCATGCTTTGCGTGTGCCCGTGAGCACCCATAGCGCTAGCACACACATATCATGAACATCTCGACATGCGAAAGTGTTTCCCTATGTTTTCATTAGAGTTGTACTCAATACTGATCCATCCGAAGAGTTTGTAATGTAGTCAAATGTTTACAAACACAAGCGCAGCCTATTAGGGGTCATTTCTGGTTAATGATGTCAGAATTTACCGGCATTTTGCGATGGATGTGTGAATGCTCTTTTCCGGAAAAATTCCATAACGTCCTCGCCTGTGTGAACAGCGTTTTTTTGAACATTCCGGTAAAGTAGTTCCGGAAATTTTCCGGATATTTGCCGGTATCACTGTGTGAAAGGGGCTATAGTCTTATAATATGCATTTATTTTTACCTAATTATCCCAGCAACTCCCATATGAATCGTTCAGCGATTAATTTGTTCCCAAACCCCTCCTTAGCGCTAATCTGCGATGATTGGACCGATAACCCAGTCTATTGAGATTTGTCGACTGGGTTCAGCACGAGACAGAAAGAAATGCCCACTACAGCTTCAGTAGCTACAGAGCCCACTGCAGGAATGCAATAAAGCAATGCAGTTAAACACCAGCATATACTCTACTCTTAAACATAAAAATACATAATCTCTCAATATAAAAAATAAAAATAAAAATAAACAAGGGGCTTATAATTCAGGAGGGCTAATATACTGTATATAGAGCTGCGAATCATGTGATTAATTATTTTATTCATTTGATAAATACTTTGACCAACACAGATTAATAATTTTACTAAAACACTGCAGAAAATGAAAAAAAAAAACAGCCAAAACAGTTATTTAAAAAAATATATGTCCTTCAATTTTTCATGACTCTGACCATTTCAGTTGACCAGAAATTTTTTTATAATCTATATTGTCATTTATCATTAATAGTCCACATGATGATATAAATATTGACAAAATAGCCAATACAGATATCTCTTTTTTTATTACAATGTCCTTTAATTTTTCATAACTCTGGCCATTTTAATAGACCAGACATTTTGATATAATCTACATTGTCATTTATCATTGATAGTCAACATGGTAATATTTTTAAACTTACTGTTATTGCTGCACCTCTTACAAAGCTGAAAGCCAGTGGTGGTTTTGTTAACAGCGCCAGTTTATGTGTGTTATAAGACTGAGGTTGAATAGCAGGAATATGCTGTTGTATTGAGGTCAGAGATGGGCATGTGCTCTCTTCAGCTGCATATTTAAAGCACCATAGTGAGCTCTAACTTCAGAAAACAGGACTCGTAAATTGACAAGAGACGTTGCAAGAGTGCTGATAGCTTAGCCAGATGCTAACCTCCCCCCTGTGCGGATGCATATATGGATGTCTATGTCTTTATGCTGTTTGTTGCTGTTTCCTGGGTTGAAGATGAGGTCAGATGTCATTCATTGCATTAACCCTTTTGGCTTTGCCAGTTTCTGTAGTAATGTAAACACATAATACAAACTGAAGTGCATGCGTGTAACCAGAGGCACCATAGATAAACACATTTGCCTGTCAGTTACACTCGTTTTGTTTTATATGGGCTTCAGGCTGGACTGTTGTTATTGATTATTTATGTAGGGCAAATAATGGATATTTTCCTTGAGATGGCAAGATAAACATATTTGAGGAATGGAATTTCGGAAAATAGAGTATAATATCTTTCTATCTATCTATCTATCTATCTATCTATCTATCTATCTATCTGTCTGTCTGTCTGTCTGTCTGTCTGTCTGTCTGTCTGTCTGTCTGTCTGTCTGTCTGTGTCTGTCTGTCTGTCTGTCTGTCTGTCTGTCTGTCTGTCTGTCTGTCTGTCTGTCGGTCTGTCTGTCTGTCTGTCTGTCTGTCTGTCTGTCTCTCCGTCCGTCCGTCCGTACATTGTATTACTATATAATATTATATTGCTTGAAAAAAATAATAATACAACTCATAAACCTTGTATTATGATAGTTGTGTAGCTATTAGTCACACTGAATCTGTGAAAACAGCTAAATCTTCTGTTTATTCAACAATTATTATGGAATTTTTCTGCTGTTTTGGAGTCATGGAGAAACATCCTCAGGCGATTTAATTGAACTTTATCTTACAGCCCTACATTATTGTCTGAATTGATGGGATTGTGAATGGTGAAATGTTGCTGAAAACAGACTGTAAGTCATTGGGCCCTGTTATACACCTGGTGCGATAAGGCGCAAGACATGTTTGGTGTGATGTGTTGCTATTTTCAGACAACACAACTCTAATTTTCCCATTTTGCGCTACAATGTTTAAATAGCAAATCCATATGCACCGCTTTGTGAACTTATGGGTGTTCAGGTCTAGAAAGGAGCTGTGGAACTAAAATAGACTGCGCTATTGACCAGCTCAAAACAGGTCTAAAGTCCAGCGCAGAGCTTGCTAGTTGTGCACCCTTAATGCATACACACTGTTTAATACACACAGGATGTACAGCAATACGCAAATATCTTTACAAATGAAAAGGAATTCATGAAATAAAATATTACAACAATTATTATTTTCTACATAAATTGTCAGTTCATTCATGACAATTTGCTTTTGTATAATGTTGTTATTATTAGTATTATTTATTATATGCTTATTTTTTATTTGTTTTATTAAGAGATTTGTTTAGATTTGTCCTCCTGTCGGGTTTTAGAGACGTCTGCATCACCATTTGGGGCATAAGAATAGGAGGCGTGTTTGTATATAACTTGACCATGCTTTATTGTTTTTCATTTATTTGTTTGTAGAAAATTATAACTGAATTTATAAATAGTTTTGAAAAAATCTCTGCGCTTAACATGAAAACCAAATTAAACATATTAGCTATGGATATCTCAGTGGAGTGCGTACAATACCGTTTCCTTATCCACAAAGGTGAAGAAATAGAGAGAAAGTAAAAAGGCAGAATGGAGGAGACTCGTTCTTTATCTTCGGGCTGCAGATGGGCTGTTTAACTGTTTTTTTTTTTTTGCTCGTTAAGTATTAAGTTTTTCCTCTTACAGAGTCCACCATGTAAATAGCTAATGTGCCATGGCACAATGACACTGACTCTTAAAGGGAATAGGAGATGAGCTTCTGATTGGTTTAATGCACAATATGCTTAAAACACAATATCGGCTTATTAGATGAATAAGCACAACCCTGTTAGACCATGCGCCCAAACTTTATTTTTCCATCCTTAAAATTAGAAAAGTGGATTTGAAGATGCCCTTAATACCTTTACGCCATGCACTTTAGACTGTGTAAAGTAGAGCCCATTATGTAATACCTTTGATGCACCTATCATGCACTTGATTGATTATTGGTTTATTGTTTAGCATGATAATGAAATGGCCTCCAAAGAGTCCAGATCTGAATAGTAAGAAATCACTCTGACAGAAAATACAATCTATGACAGCGCTAAATCTAAAGAACAACTCTGTAAAGTACTTAAAGAGTCCTAATGTTACATTACACATTATTATTATTATAAATTTTCATACAGTCTCCCAAAATCGGTTGTACTTGGATGCATCGTTCAAAGAAAGGTCACGTTAAATACCAACATCTGCTTAAAGAAGTAATTTTGCTACTGATGCAAAAAAATAAAATAAAAAAAATAAATAAATAAAATAAAATAAAAATAATAAAATAATTTATTTGTTATTCAAAAAAAGATTACCTAAATGATTTGTAATTTCTGTTTTAATAAAGAGACAACAAATTCAATCTTGATATATACAGTACTGGTTTCAGAACCTTCTAAAAATTTGCACCACATGAACTTTTTTGACTTAACTTGTTATTTATTTTATTTTTGGAATGAATAAAATTCCATTTTATTTTACTTCTTTTAAAGTTTAAGTCTAGCTTACTAAATTGCTTGCTGTTTCTTTTTAAACTGTAATTTAGGTGCAGTTTATAATTTTCAATCAATCCATCCATACATGCATACATTTATTTGTTTATTTTAATAATAAACATATAATAAAAAACAAAAACAACAACAATAATGATGATGATATAATGATGAATAATAATGATGATGATGATGATAACAAACATTTAATTAAATAATTTGATCACCACAAAATGCTAATTCACTGATTATTTCGTGATCTTCTTGGAGCACAAAAGGAGCTTTAATCAGTTCAGAAAGGTTTTTATATATATATTTTTATCTGTTGACTTAAAATACATACTCAGATTTTATTTTGTCTCATATTCAGATATAAAGAACGGACAGAATTTTCACTTTTTGGTAAGCTAACTCTGTAAGTAACACGTTGTATTTTTTATACACAGCCAAACAGTAAACATTTGCTTCAAGCGAGTGTTTTGCTTGTCCTCTGAGCTCTTCTGGACTTTATATTTGACTGATTTGTGGTCTCTCAGCTGCTCGGGGTCCACTGACCTACTTGCTCACAATGACAGGGCTGTTTCTTCCTGCGGTAACAGATCGCGAGCGGGGGGCATATCCTGCAGGCCTGGAGAAAGCCTGATGTGTGGGACTCCCAGCGTTTCTCTTTTGTTGAGGGGCCGCTCAGTTACCCTGTGTTGGCTCTTTCCACTTTGACCTTCCCCACAGGAAGACCCAATGACAGACTCTGAAAAGCAGCCGCTCTCTAGAGACACATGAGTGTGTTACAGCTTCATCCAGGCAGTGCTGGATACAATACTAAAGCTAGACTAGTAATTTAATAGTGTTTTTAAGTATTAAGGTGGTCATTAAGTAATTATTTAATTTTTCTTTGTGTGTGTGTGTGTGGGTAGCAAATCTATCTTAAAGAAAAAAATTCTGCCACTCATTTATTTGACATTTATTCATTTACCCACCCTTCATTAGCTTAGGTTGAGTTTGTTTCTTCTGTTGAGCACAAGAGAAGATACTTTGACAAGTGTTAGAAACTGGTAGCCATTGTATTGCATTGTTGTTTATATCTGTATTTATTTATTTACTTTGATTATTTAGTTTGTAATTGAATATTTAGTTGAATACTTACTGATAGCAGTTGTCAAAATGGAAAACAGGTCCCAAGGTTTGAAAATATTATACAATTTTGTATTATTATTATTAAAAATGTGAGTAGAAATAGATATACACACATGTGGCTTTTAAGAATTTATATTTATGAAAGAAACAAACAAATAAACACAAAAAAATTATATATATAAAAAACACAAAAAACAAAGACGAAACACACAAACATATTCAAAAAACTAAACACACAAATTAATAAATAAATAATATGTATCAAAATAAACATGTCTAAAAATATTTTTTGTATATTTGTTTGTTTTTTTGTTTGTTTATTTATTTATTCATTGACTGTGTTGTTTATATTTGTGCTTGTGTTTTGTCTTTGTTTTTTGTATGTTTTGGGTTTGTTTGTTTGTATTTATTTATTTATTTATTTATTTATTTATTTATTTATTTGTTCATTGGTTATGTTTGTGTGTGTGTGTGTGTGTGTGTGTGTGTGTGTGTGTGTGTGTGTGTGTGTGTGTGTGTGTGTGTGTGTGTGTGTGTGAGTATGTGTTATTTGTCATTGTTTTTTTGTTTTGTTTTTTGTATTTGTTAGTTTGTCTATTTATTTATTTATTCATTGACTGTGCTTTATTTTGATTTGTGTGTGTGTGTTTTGTCTTTGTTTTTTGTGTTGTTTGTTTGTCTATTTATTTATTTATTTATTTATTTATTTATTGACTGTGCTTTGTTTTTTATTTGTGTGTGTGTGTGTGTGTGTTTTGTCTATGTTTTTTGTGTTTTGTTTGTTTGTCTATTTATTTATTTATTTATATATTTATTTATTTATTTATTAATTGATTTATGTATTGTTTGTGTGTGTCTTGTCTTTGTCTTTGTTTTTTGTATTTGTTTGTTTGTCTATTTAATTATTTATTCATTGACTGTGCTATATATGCTTTTATTTCTGTGTTTGTTTTCTCTTTGTTTTTTTGTTTTTGTATTTTTTGTATTTGTTCTTTCTTTCTTTCTTTCTTTCTTTCTTTCTTTCTTTCTTTCTTTCTTTCTTTCTTTCTTTCTTTTCTTTTGTTCATTGACTGTTATTAGGGTTTATTTGTTTGTTTATTTAATAATTCAATTCAATTCAGCTTTATTTGTATAGCGGTTTTACAATGTAGATTGTGTCAAAGCAGCTTCACATAAATGGTCATAGTAACTGGAACAGTGTGGTTCAGGTTTTAGTGTTTAAGTTCAGTTCAGTTCAGTTTAGCTCAGTTCAGTGTGATTTAATCATTACTGAGAGTTCAAACACTAAAGAGCAAATTCATCGATGCGTAGCTCTACCAATCCTGAACCATGCGAGGCAGTGGCGACAGCGGAGAGGGAAAAAAAACTTCACCTGATGGGAGTGAAGAAAAAAAACCTTGAGAGAACCAGACTCAGTTGGGCACGACCATTTTAATTTCTCCGCTGGCCAAAAATCTTGTGCAGAGCTTCAGTCACTGTGGTGGAGGCTGGAAGAGGGCCTCAGCGAAGACTCGTCTGTCCCTGGAGCGTCGCTGGAATAAATACAAATTCTTGAAAGCCACATGTATGTATATCTATTTTTACTCACATTTTTAATAATAATAATACAAAATTGTATAATATTTTGGGACCTTGTTTTCCATTTTGAAAACTGTTATCAGTAAGTATAGTATTCAACACAAACTAAATAATCAATAATACATACATAAATACATACATAAACAACAATGGAAGCCAATGGTTACCAGTTTCCAACACTCATGAATGTATCTTGTCTTCTGCTTAACAGAAGAAACAAACTCAACCTGGTTTGGAGCTAATGAAGGGTGGGAAAATTATGACAAAAAGAAACTATTTAGCAGAGTTTTATTTTATTTTATTTTATTTTATTTTATTTATTCATTGACTGCGTGTTTTGTTTTAATGTGTGTGTGTGTTTTGTCTGTTTTTTGAGTTTTGTTTTGTTTTTGCTTTTTGGGATTTAAAAAATGTCAGTAACAAATAAAATACTCGAGGCTTCTGAGATTCTGAAATTCTGCAATTTTTTTCATTAATTTATTCTTTCTATTGTTCTTTCAATAATTTATTATAAAAGTTATTAGCAAAGATTGTTTATTTATATATTATATATCTGTTTGAAAACATAATTAAAAATAAATATTAATGCAGCTTTAGTGAATCTTTGGTTTTGCTTATTGCTCCCCCTATATAAAAAATGTGCTTCATAATAACACTGGACACTTTAAAATTATATTCAAAATGAAATATTTTTTATATATTAATATTAATATTAATATTTTGTCTAATTGCTACAGAAAAAAAAATTAAATAAATAAAAACAATTCTGATATCAGGCTCTACAGGTTTAATGATTTAGTAGAATAACAAGTTGCATGTTTCCCAGTGCACACGTAACAATATTTTGGCTTTTAATATGTCTCTTGTTCCCGGTCTGCTGTTTAGAACTAGTAAGATCTGTTTCACACATGAGTCACTCTGAGTCAATTGTTTACAATGATTTGCTCAAACATTTTAGCAAAACACGGTGAATCAGTTTACGATTCTGTCTGAATCATTTTGACAGCTCACTCTGACAACAACTCTTCTGGAGCAGTTTCTCATTCAGAAAAGCAATAACAGAATTCATATAATAGAGAACTAAGACATTTTGACATGTTGTAGTATGTTTTGCTTTAGTATAAGTCGGCAAACAGTGAATAATACTTTTTAAAATAATGATTTATTAATAACATTTTCAAAGAAGAAATGCCAGCTGAATTGAGCACTCATTGCAGTCTCTCATGTCTAAAAGGCTTTCTTAAAGACAGCATTTATAATGTTGTACTCTGAAGATCTTCATGCACAGCAGAAATCGTCAGCTCTCATCTCTCTTCCTCAAGCCAGTATTGTGAATTAATAACATAAGAAGCGTGCGATCAATAATACATGTCACTATGACTTTTGCCCGCAGACTAGACAGAAGACTATGAATTATGGATTGTTTTTTTTTATGGCTAGGGAGGTTTTTATTTTCTTGTTTTGCTTGAGATCTCCCTCTTATCAGATCTCACAGAGGAGCTTTTTAATTAAAAAATGATGAAAGAAGTGAGAGCACGTACTGCAATATGAGAATTGTATTGATAATCTTACAAGTCGTGAATAGTCTAAATAAACATGAAAAGATCTACTGGAGCTGGAGAACTTCACACAAGAAGTGTGTTTGATTTTAAAGTCATCCTATTATGCCCCATTTGCAAGATATAGTATAATATAATATAGCTGTTTAACAGAAGGTATCTGAGAATGAGCTGCATATCTTTCCCTCCATCTGGCTATGATTTAGCTCGTTGTCTTCACTACCTACCCAAAAACATTTATTCTTAAAAATTATAATAAAAATATGTAATTAAAGTACATGTTAATGTTTTTAAACTAACTTTAGTTGGTTATACAGTTTATTGCAGAACATCTCCACATGCATTAACACGATTATGGGAACTTTAAAGGGCCATGAAACCCCCTTGTTTCAGCAGGGTGTTTTCACACCTCTACTTTGGAAAAAGTCTGAAAAGTGGGCGTGTCCAGCTCTGTTTAGGGGGGAGTGTCGGAGGAAGAAAAGAGGCTTGGTGTGGGAGTGTCTATTTGGGCGCGCTGAATTTCAGAGTCAAAACACACAACCACAGCGGACAATGTGACTGTGTTTATATGGACATCTGTTGTCGAATTATTTGCCAAATTATTAAATGGTGGACTTTAACTGCAGTTTGGCTCTTTCATTCAGGGAATTCATTCATGTCCCTCCCGACAAACGAGATATTGGATTCGAGGATCTGCTCTAAGCGTGTATTTTTCATGCAATGTTTGATACCGCACGGCGAATGAGAGGAAAAAAAAACTCAGCATTTCCCGGAAACTTAGATGCACACGGCAGGTAGCGTCAGAAAGCCGCGTGTGTTATTCCGGTCACAAAATCCAACACGAGGTTATAGTTTGGTTGTAACTGTTAGTGCTAACTTGTTTACACTCGGTGCAATAGTTTGTTTGATACGAATAAAATACGAACTGTATAAACAAAGAGCACTGGTCGCTCACTTACCAAATCTGTAGAGACAGGACAATCACCAGCAACTAGAGCCGCGTCTTTATTTAGAGGAGACTACAAGCGAATCCGGATCTCAGCATTTGCAGATGAGAACAGCTCTCAGGTAAACAATAATCCTCCTTAGACACGTAAGTTATTGTTGTCGCGCGTCGCGTACACTGTTAATCCACGCGTGAGTCTGAGCTCTCACAGAGAGAAAATGAAAACAAAACTTAACGGCAGCAAACTATAAAAGCAACACTCCATGCTTGTTTTGCCAATACAACGTGGCGTCTCTGCCGTCTACACTCTGACAGCAATGAATATTAATGAAGTTGCACAATAGAGCGCGCTGATTGGTTTGAACCAAGCCTTACTCATGCATTAATGCATCACACTGTAAGACGTAATAAGACTCACTCTGGCACAGTCTGCACTCTGGAATACAACGCTATTATGTCATGGCCGTGACGCAGCTTTCGTTTCAAACCGGAAGTACGAATTTGCATGAAATAACGCAAAAACAACCAATTTACACTTTTTAGTGAAATATATGTGTCCTAATAGTGTTTTTAGCAGTGTGGGACACATATATGACTGTCAACAGCTCAAAAAATGTGTTTTGGTGTTTTGTGACCCTTTAAAGTTAAACTTCCAATCTTTTCCTGGACTAACTCATAATCCATCCATCCGTCGATCCATCCACCTAATCATCCATCCATCCACCCATCTATTTGTTTATTTGTCTGTCCAACTGTACATGCATTCATCCATGTCTCTTTCCTCCTGTACATCCACCCATCTCTTTCTATCGGCCACTCACAAGGACTACATGTACCGCAATGCCTTGCACCTCACACTTGATTCACATGCACCCATGAATCAGGTCCGTCCATCCAGCAATACATCCATTTGTCCATCCATCTGTCCATACATTCATTTATTTGAACATCCATTTGTCCGTACATCCATTTCTCCATCTATCCATCAGTCCATTTGTCTGTACATTCATCTATCTATATAAGCATTTGTTCATCTGTCCATTCATTCATCCATCCATCCATCCATCCATCCATCCATCCATTTGTTTATTAATTTATTTGTCCATTCATCTGTCTGTCTGTACATTCATTTACCCATTCACTCACAGTTTTAGCAACTATCTGGTATCATAATTTCTCATCCATTCTTCTATCCATCTGTCTGTACATCCATTTGTCAATCCATCCATTCGGCAGTAAATCCATTTGTCCATCCAATGCTACATCCATCTATCTGTCCATCCATCAGGCAGTTGATCCACTTTTCCATCCATCTGTCCATACATCCATTTGGGTCGTATGTCCATTTGTTCGTACATCCATTTCTCCATCCATCTTTCTGTCCATTCATCTGTACATGTGTCTGTACGTCCATCCATCCATCCATGCGTCTATCCATCCATCCATCCATCCATCCATCCATCCATCCATCCATCCATCCATCCATCCATCCACACGTCTGTACATTCATCCATCCATCCATCCATTTGTTCGTACATCCATTTCTCCATCCATCTGTCTGTCCATTCATCTGTACATGTGTCTGTACGTCCATCCATCCATCCATGCGTCTGTACATCCATCCATCCATCCATCCATCCATCCATCCATCCTTCCATCCATCCATCCATCATCCATCCGTCTGTCTATACATCTATTCATCTGTGCAATCCTTCGATCCATCCGTCTCCATCATCTATTTATTCATCCATCCGCAGTTTTAGCAAATATTTGGTATCATAATTTCCCGTCCGTTCTTCCGTCCTCCCATCCCCCCGGCAGTAATCCATTTGTACATCCATTGGTACATGCAACTGTCCATCCGTCCATCCAGCAGTCCATCCATTTATCCCTCCATCCATCCGTCTGTCTGTCTGTCAGTACATCCATTTATCTATCCACCCACAGTTTTACCAACTATTTGGTATCATAATTTTCTGTCCGTTCTTCCATCCATTTATCTGTACATCCATTTGCCCATACATCCATCCATCAGTAAATCCATTTGTCCATCCATTGGTACAATTATCGGTCCGTCCATTCATCCGGCAATACATCCACTTGTTCATCCATCTGTCCATACATCCATTTCTCCACCCATCTGTCTATCCATACATCAATCATTCGTCCGTCCGTCCATCTGTCTGTCTGTCTATACATCATTCATCTGTCCATCCATTTATCCATTCATCCATCTATCTGTCTGTACATCCATTTATCCATCCATCCACAGTTTTAGCAACTATTTGGTATCATAATTTCTCATCCATTCTTCCGTCTATCCATTCATTCGACAGTAAACATCCATTTGTCTGTCCGTCCATCTTGTCCAAACATTCATTTGTCTGTACATCCATTTTACCATCCATCCGTCTGTCCATTCTTCTGTACATCTATTCATCAGTACATCCATCTGTCTGTCCATTGATCTGGCAGTAAATCCATTTGTCCATCCATCGGTTCATCCATCTATTCATTCGTCCATCCAGCAGTACATCCACTTGTCCATACATCCATTTGTTTGTACAACCATCCATCCATCCATCCCTCTGCGCGTTTGTCCATTTATCCATCCATCCGTCCGTCCGTCCGTCCATCTGCCGTCAGTCCGTCAGTACATCCATTT